ATGGAGACTCCAAAGGTCACCAGTCAGGGATTGACTCTCCTTGGGTGTTGTATGGTGCCTAGCAAAGCAAGCCCAGCTCCTGACTGTCCTTTTTGGTACATCTACAGGCACCATGCAGAGACACCCAGGCTAAACAAAGCTGGCTCAAGGCTTCTTGTGAACATAGGCAAAGCCAAATTTTCTCTGGTCCACAATGAGCAAGCAACTTGTGGGAGCACAGTGTCATTTCCAGTTTGCTCCAAACAGTTTCATCCTCCTCCTTCCCTCTTTCCTGCCACATATTTCAGAGTTTTCAAAGCAATGAACTTGCCAATGCCCAGACAACAGCAGTAGCCAGTGGCTGAGACCATAATAACTGTGGAATGTTTTTTATCTTTGTTGTTGAGGGAAGATAAGTTTGTGGCATCTGTATGGAACTTACTCTGGAGCACTTCTGATGTCGTGGTGGTAGCTGAAAGGGATGTTGGTCTTCAGAGAGAGCACCAACTCTATTGCCTACAAACTCTCTTTTTCCTACTCCAGCACTTCCAACAAGCAAGACTGGTTTGCCTTTTGTTATGTGTAAATCAATACAGTATTGGAGATGTGCAGTCTCAGATGTGTGAACAAAGATTGCCTAAAATTGAAAAGGAAAAAAAAACCCATCAAACACTTACACATCACAGTTTCGTTTTAAAAGCAAATAGTAATTTCTGTCTCTCTCTCTGGCTAGGACTGAATTCTAAAACGTGATGAAACAGAATACACCATTCTCTAATTCTCAAACACAATTACTACAAAAAATTGTTTTACTGGATTACTTTTACATAGTATTTCTACTTAAAATTTTTTATTCAATTTCTTCTATGAGGAAACTTTTGAAATCCGGTTGTAGCTGAAATGCACTGGTTCCATCTCAGCCTTTACAGAACACCAGTCTCCCTATAACTGGTAGAGAAGCAAAGGCTGGTGCAAGAAGTAGTTGGTTTAATTTCTCAATTATTTTCATTTAATGTTTGCCCTGGCTTTCACCATACATAGAATTGTTTGGGCAAATAGTTGGCAATAAATAGCTTTACCTACTGTGAGTGCCTAAAAGCTTCATTGGCTGATAAATCTTTCTTTTCCAAGCTCTGTATTTTCCTACCAAATATTAACCCTCAAAGAGAACTTGTTACAGAGGAGTTGATAATGGATAATGTCTTCCGATCATCAGCTCCATGTTTCTATGTCCATAGACTTCTAATCCCTACCAGGAAAATTTCTACTCATCCAAGCATTAAAAAGACCTACAGGTTAATGCAATCAAAACACCGTGAAACACTTGAGAACACACAGAACACAGAACACTTGTTCTGCATATCCTATGCAGAACAGACTGCAAAAGAGCAAAAATAACCAAACCTCCAAAGTGAAGCAATTACAACTAATAGCTCATGCTTCCTATATCTCCACTGACAAGTATATTTCATACTATCATAACTCCTACAATGTGTATTCCACAAATATAACTCCAACTTTGTAAGTTGTTCAAGAGCATAGTGGAAAGGTGATAAAGTGATTTGCTTGCCCCAGATCTCAACACTTCTTAGTGTGAAGCTAATTTAGCCGGTAAAAAATTACCTGTGCATAAAGCTGAAATAGAAAAATATTAAGATTTCAATATGTGGTGTACAGTTGCTGTGGGCATTATTTTCAATGGTTAAATGGACTTGGAGCCTGAATTTTTCTGACTATGGGAAAAAAGTATAAACCAGTAAGAAGTTCAACATGATATGTCTTCAGGAGTGCTTAAAAAAAAACAATAAAAGCATCACTTTACTGTTAATTCTCATCATTCAGCTAAAGGCATGTGGCCTAAATAACAGGGATTTATCCAAACACATGTAGTGAGCACTACCTTCAGGACATCTAAGTTGATGTTAGAAAGGGTGACAAGACTCTCAAACATTTCTGCATCTAGCAATGTTCATTGCACAGTACCTGCAGGAAAGCATCTGGATACACATCGGGACTCAGGACCTTATGCACCCAGGGCGGGAACTTCCTCATCTCTGGACCAAGGTAATAATCAAACACTGTGCCCTGGGACAGAAACGTCACTGCTTTCATCTCCTTAAGCTACCAGCAGCTGAATTCAGCTTGGTGGTTTGAAAGCATTTATTGTTACACTACATTTTCCATGTCTAGTCGTTCACGTGAAGCACATATGAAAAACAGACTTATGAAAAAAAATCTTATTTGTAAATGAGTATACATGTAGACTGTGATTAAATAACCAAGAATATCAAAGCAATATCATAGTGTTCCTGTTTTTTTAAGGGGCTAAAGACAGGTCACTTTGTAAATGACATCCTGGATTGAGTTGAGGTGCCAAGGTGTTGGAGGTGGGTGGCTGCAGGGTGGCCTCTGTCAGATGGGTCCCTGTGCTGGACATGGCTAGTTCCACCCAGCTCAAACACAACCCCTGCAGGACACTGCTGGTTATCTGAGAGAAAATATATTCAAGAAGGCAGAATGACTGAGAAACAGCAGAACACCAAAGTCAGATGTGGAGGAGGAAGAGGAGAAGGAGGTCCATGCTGCTGATCACCCACACTGCAGCCCCTTGAGGACCCCATGCTGCAGTAGGTGAGTATGTGCTGAAGGACTGTAGCCCACAGAGAGCCCATGCCAGCACAAGGGCAAATTAAAGTGTGAGAAGTAAGGAGTGGCAAACAGAAACCCCAGTGCACAGACCATAATCCCGCATCCACCTGCGCCACTTAGAGTAGGGGGAGCAAAAGAGTCAGCAGTAAAGTAGTGAGGCTGAGACTAGGGGAATAGGTTTTGTTTTAATGTTTGCCTTTTCTCTCACTACCTGAATGCATTTTAATTGGCAATAAAAGAAATTAATTTTCCCCAAATCAAGTCTGTTTTGCCCATGAGAGCTACTGCTTAGCAATTTCACTGTCTTCATCCTGATCCACAAGCTTTTTCACCCTATTTCATCCCTACCCTGCTGAGGAGGGAGAGAGAGCAAGTGTCTGAGCTGGTGTTTGGCTGTTCATAAAGGCTAACTCTCCACACATCCAGCCTAAATATTTTATTTCCTAAAACTTCTAAATTTAGTTTAAATGTACATGTATGTACACATGCGAGACCACAGAGACGACTTGCTTCAGACAGGACCTTCCTGAGTATGGCCACAGAACAAGTCTCTGAAGACTGGTAGGAAAGCAGATATTAATATGACCAAAAAGATCTTCCCATTCTCCCAGAATATGTTGCTTCTGATTCATCACCTTATGCAAGGTGCTCCTTTACCTATGGATGATGCATACATCAATTTGTTTCTTCACACGGGCTTCATCTACTTTAAATAGCAGTAAAGACATCTGTATTCTTTTAGTCTTTAACAGGCAAGTTTGACTAGATATTTCTCAAGAAACCAAGTAAGCAAAACACTGACAAGTAATTTTCAGAGTTTTAGAACTTTCCTCTTCAAACTTTTGTAGCATCACAACAAAAAAATCTCACTAAGGGGTATGTACTTTAATGCCTTGTTTATATCTACATTTCTCAGTATAAATCAGCTAAAAGCAGAAGAGGCAAAATCTCTCTCAGTGTCAACGGAAATAACCAGAAAAAGATTCAGAGCAGGACCCTAAACTTAGGGTCCAAAATTTCTCTTGAAAAAGCCACACTCTGTTCCTTGGCTAAAGTTAGGTTATGTGGCTCTCCCTAACAGACACCTTGCTGAGTAACTGAGTAACCATAGACCATGTCACTAGAGTTAAGTCCCTAAGACAGGAAAGCTTAAGAGAATGGGTGAAACTCCAATCACTTTCCTAAGGTTATGGTCAGATTTTAGATTCAGATTTCATTATGTTACAGCATTTCAGACAGCCCACAAAACTGGTTTAGCTGTATGATTAATAAGAAGGGAATAAAGAGTCTAGATGCTATTGTTCTTAAACTGACTTATTTATATTTCCTAACACTAGCCTTCTGTAGTATAGTGATGCAAGGACTTCAGTTATGGAATCTTAAATATATTTTACTGAGAGGTTTTCCAAATAACAGTTTCAATAATCTTATGATTGACATTTTGAATTACACCAATTCATACTCTAGGAGGCACAATCTCCCTTAAAGTGTACATATAGGCTACTTTAAGTCTTTTTGTTGTACCAAATAGGCAAGACATATCGTTAATTAGGTGTTAAAATATGGAAGAAAAGAATTGCATACTATCTCCAGAAAAATAAAGGAAGAAGAAAATGGGAAAACAGGTAGAGGGGAAGCCACTGTAATTGTTTCTCAATTGTTCACTTTATTAACATCCATAACAGTGCTGAGTGACTCAGTCCACATAGGATCTATATCTCTATTTAAAACTGACCTTTTTGGCCCCTCATGGGTAATATTGGCTCACTCTCTCAGAAGGGATGACAGATTCTATTTCAATAGAATCTTATCACTTCAGTGCTTAAGTAACAACAGGGCACTGCAATTAAAACTTCAGAAGACTTGATGCATGACTGAAACATGAAGCTTTTGTAGAGTCAAAACCATGCTTTTTCCTTTGCTTGTTTATTAGATGGTTATTCAACGAAACAAAAAAAAAATCAGTGAACACTTCATATAACAAAATGACTGCATTTTATGCAATAATGACCTATTTCTTAATTCCAGTGGAGTCTGTCATTAGTCTTAACGAGGTGGGTGAGATATGGGAGGTTTCCTGGGTTTGTGGAGAAAATAACTCGCTCTTTAAGACAGCAGAATCAGCATTGTTCAGGCTAATACCTTTCTGTCTACTAGCATCCTGCTCTGCCTTCCAGTCTTTCCAGAACCACCTGTGCTCTGCACCCACATTTCATTGCACCAAAACTCAGAAAAATGCAAGAATTCTCTTGCTAACACCTTCTCTGAATTATGGCATTGTCCATTTTGGATGGAGAATGATGCCTCCAGGAATAGGTCCGAGCAAGAACACATGTGCTACTTGCCATCTTTCCCTTATCAGGTTTCATGGTGTATAAAGCCAAACAGTTCATCAGTTGTCAGGACTTTTGAGTTAAGATCATTCCAAACAGGTATTTCTTTCATGTTCACATACACGTGGAGCAGAACTTTTAGCACGTGAAGAAGAGGAACAAGGTGCATGTTAGTGACATCATTTTGATACAATAGGAATTTTTTACTTTTTCCTGAACCGGATTCCTGACTGCAAATCCCTGCACTCAGAGTAAATTCACCTTGATTTACTCTTGCCTCTGTGCTAATTTAGTCCCAAATTTCCATCAAGCCTAAGGATAAGAAAGGATATTCCCATTCTGAAATGGCTGTACTCTGTAGTCAATTCTAATAGAGAGTGTTAAATGGAGAAGAAAATCTATGCAGCTGCCAACAGTTAGTAGCAGAAATAGGCAAGTATTATGTATTAGAATTATTTGTCTAGTGTTTTGGCAATAAACTCGTTGATGTCTGTCTAGAAACCTAATTAAAACATCCTGCTTCTTCTTCCAGAACAAAGTATTACTTAGTCTATCTGTCCAATTGAATACTCATTACTTTGTGCCATGATCGACTGTCCTTTGGGACATGTGAACAACATGTAAAATGTAGAATTTGCTTGTAACATTTGAGCTTTCTATTGCACATCATGTGACTGACTGAATGGCCTGAACAGCACATTATTACACTGCAGCCTAAGGCAAAGGCAACATGGAGAACGTTTTCTGCGAGAACCACAGCAATTCCTTTACAATGTGAGACAGAAAACACGCTGCATAGGTAGGCAGGTACCTTACTCTTTCCAATTCCTGCATTTCCACCGTCAAACACAGAGTGATGCACTGCCAGCAGCTCCTCCAGCTGAACAGCCTACCACCCAGAAGAGACACACAGTGAGTGCCTTTCCTCTCTTGTTGTACTTCTTATCACAGAGACACAATTATTCACAAAAATCATCTCCCCCTCTACATTCTTATTCCCTTTAATAGGAAAAAAATGAACTTGCACCATCTTGGCAGATTTGCCTCAGCTGAGCTGATGTTGCATCAAGCAAAACCGTCTCTCAGAAAATAGTAAGAGAATTGGTGCAAGGTAATGAAAACAGTTACCGCAACAAGTGAGAACAAATCCTATTCTGCCAGACAGCCACACAGTCCAGTAAGACTGTGCCCACCCAGACACACAGAACAGTTATTCACAATATTACAATTTTGCCATTACTTTAGCAGAGTGAATTCCACACTCAGAACAGTTGTACAGCTATAATTCAGCAAAACACAAGGTCAGTCTACTAAAGTAATACATTTCTTCCAAAGAAATAGTTCTATGAGTCACAGAACGGAAGTAGGTTGGGTGCTTGTGGATTTCTGCCTTAGTGAAGAACATTTACACTGATTTTCTGAAGTCTAACAGGAATAAGATCATGTTCCTCAGCACTTAGCTTCTGTTTCACCTTGCTAGTGGGAAACAAAATATTCTATAGAAGGCTGACCGTAAAGTTCACAGTACCCCAAAGTATAACTTTTTGTCTTTCACCCTTCTGTCAGGATAATGGAAAAAGATAGACAAGAGCATAAAATCCTTTATAAATCCTGAGATCAGCCACATTTAACCAGTCTGGTTATTTCTGTTTCCAGCATACCCTAATAAAGGTAAATAGTGTGCTATCACATACAGTAGATGTGGATGTTCCCTGAAGAAAGATGGGAATATATGCTCTTAGTAGTCCAGTAATGTGTGCAGCACAATGTGCATTACATTATACATAAATACCTGAGCACACAAAAGTCACATGCACCCATGCACATTCCAAATCCACACCCTCTTATTTATATGTTTTTTGCTCCCTTACTCTTCTTACCTCATTATAAATAATTAACCAACAGTGAATTTTCTACCAAGCACAAAGGCTTGGTACCGAGCACAAACAAACATGTTTGTCACTCTAGATTGTAACTATACACAGCTTTTTTGAACAGGATATATTTTCTTACAGGCATATTTATCATACTGAGGAGCATTACTACCATGATAAAATGCCTTTGAAATACCAAGATATTGAGGGACACCTTATCAATACTGTAATATATTCAAAAATAACCTTCATTTGCAATTGCAAACCCATTTGCAATTATTTTGATTGAAACTCTTAAGGGGAGTAATTAAAGGCAATGAATTCTTTTACTTTGAGAATAAAGCTCTCCTCAGGCTTCAAATGAAGCTTCAGGGTAGATTGTTTACCCATCTGTTCAAACTGTAGGTTCCTCTTCCTAGTAACATCCAGAGCTGGAAACAGGTCACTGATTAGGCCTGTGAAAATTGGGATATCATCTGTTACTATTTTAGGGAAATTAAAGTCTCTTTAGATTCCCATAAGCACCTGGAAAAGGACAGTAAATAACATATCGCAGGAGCATTAAATCATTCTCTTTTTAAGATTCTGTTTTCATTCAAAGGCAAAACATCAGAAATAGCCCCTACTCTTAGACGCTTTAAAGTAAAGATTTTAGCTAATCCTCAGGACTATTTCTTGTCTCCTTGTTTCAAGGGCCCAGCAATTACCAAAACTGACTTGATAGCCTGAAGTCACCAGTCATAACAGTGCTGTGAAAATATTTTAACTAGTCATGTTAGCACAGGAAATAAAACTAAGTGGTTTTTATGAAGAAAACAGTTGATTTACACATGGAGGAAAATTACACATTTTTAATCACTTGTAGCCTTGTAGGCTTTAGGTCAGTGTAAGAGTTCTACTAAACAAAAAAAGACAAAAAATAAGGTGAAATGTATATCTATTTAATCTTCAGTATTCCACCACTTTGTTCCTTATTCTTAAATGGCAAATTTGCATCATCAAGTACTATTGTATTCATTGCAATTTTCATGATGAAATAAGGAAAGCAAAAAATGGCTTCCAAACTTCTACTAATTTGACCTGATGTTAGCAATGCTTTTTTGTTTCTGAAAGGTAAGATTGGACACATTTGCACCAGCTCCACCACCAAAGTTAAAGGAAAAGATAAACAGATAGATACTCAGTCTAGAGAGAAAGTGTAAAAACATTTGGTAAGTGAAGGGCAGAGAACAAGCCTGTATCCTCTTCTAAGCCCTACCAGTGGGAAGGCAGACACCCAGTGCAGAAGGTACAACTTTTTCCATGATATGTATACATTGCAGTCCCTCCTTCTCAATTTTTTCAGGGCTACGTAATACTTACCTCTCTCCCTCTCATTTCAAGGTAACATAAAAATAGAAAGAGAAGGACTTTCAAACAATTTGAACAGCACCTTGACTGACTGGAGTACCCTAATATTCAATTTTGAAGAGGATTACCATGAACTTACAGGTCTCTAAATTTAAGACTACAGCAACACCTAAAAGAGTTCTTACAGCTTATGCAGAGATCCCAGATCCCAGATAGCTAATTTTGGTATAGCCAGCAGTGGGACCAGCTACTATAAGAGCAGCAGGCTAAGTATGTGGACAATCAGCTCCTCTGACCTCTGTGCTGCTGTGGCTAGTATCTCCTTATGTCAGCATGAATCACAATATTCATGTTGGTCCACAGTTTCCTTAGTGTGTGCACACTACCCTTCCCTCAATCTGAAAAATCTGTCTGGGGTTGCAACCATCCTGCTGTCAGCACCCAAACTGGCTACCAGTTGGGTAAGGTTTGAGAACATATGCTGCAAACCACACCTAGGAATTAAATATAAATACAGCCTAGTTAGTATTATCACACATAAATACAATTAAAAAAAAAAAGGAAAAAATAAACAAAAAATCAAACCAATCCAAAAACTCAAACCAAAACCAAAACCAGAAACAAATTCACAATTTAAAAATATACCATTTTTAAAGTTGACAGATGTTTCTATCCTCTTCTATGACAGTGTGAATCAAATGCACTAAATATGTCACAAATGATAAAAAATAAAAAGTGATTTTCAAATTCAGGACAGTTCACAATCAGTAAGAATTTTTTTTTTTTCTAAGGTAATAAATATGCCAATTATCTCCATTGAAAATAAGTCTCCACATTTTAGAAATGGTACACCTAGGCAAAGAATAGAGCTGATAATGAAACTAGGAAATTTAGGAATATACTGTGCTTAATAAGCTTTTGGTTAGATCAAGGTAATTTTTTTTTTTTTTGTTGGTTTGCTGTCTCGTGGGTTATTGAAGTGCAGGCTGTGCATCTTAACAGTAGCCTGGTGTGTGGATTGTCCAGTGTACAAAGACTTTAAGACATCTAGGCTATTTGCCATGGCATGACAGGACCAGAAGTCCCTTCCTTCACTGCATATGCACTAAAAGCCCTGATAACCCTGTTCTGCAGCAATTTTCATATGCTAGGATCTTAGTGCCCCAAAGGTATATTTTAAATTCTAGAAGTCCCCACACTGGGCCAATATTCTCAGAACTCTCTGAACTGCTGTATATTTTTTTTGGCAGTCCAGAATTTTTGTCAAAGGGATTTGATTTCTCCCATTTCCATTAAAAGTAAAACAAATAAGACTTAAAAGTAAATAAACAAGAACATTCTAGCTTTTGCTTCAAACATTAATGTTAATACTATTATTAATACTATGATTAATATTGAACTGGCAAAGAGTGGTATAAATTACTTTTCCCAATTCAGAAAGTGCCTCCAAGACAAAGTAATCATTAGACTTGAGGCATCCTTGTTCTGCTGAAGCAAACAATATTAATTATCATAAGATATGCATGTCTTAATTTCATTATCTCTAGAAAATGGCAAGAATGTGTCAGGAAATCATCAGGATATTTAGAGATAATTTCAAATTATGCAGGCATGAAATAAAGTTGCTTTTGATTTCATCATGGCCTTGCCTGCTATTTGCGTTTATAGCTTAATGTTTAAGGATCTTATTACACTGACAAAACTGAATATTAAGAATGCCTTGGGAAAAATTATACAGTTCAAAATGACTAAAACAGCATACATATCGGGGAGAAATTATATAATTTCTAGATTTTAGGTTTTAAGGTAATATTTCTGAATATGAATTCTTTCTATTATAATAATTAAATTATTTATAAATGCTACCCCCTCCCCCCCCCATTTTTCAAACAGTCCTCCACTGTATTTACTGGGAAAAGTTTAAAGAAGTGTTCGTCCAACTAGAATATGCTATCTGTTTTTCAGAATAATTCCTACTCTGCTATTCTCTTCTCCAAATGATAAAGTTGTCTTTCTAATACACAGCAGCACAATGTAGTCAGTCATCCCAGGTATGAAGTGGAGATATACAATTTTTTAACGCACAATTAATACATTACAAACATACCAAGATCAAAGGAAAGGACACTTTCTTTCAAATTCATATCTGACAATTTATTAAGAATGGACATGTGATTTAAAGTGTCTTCAAAATAAAAGATAAGACTATATACATAAATCCCTCCTATTATTATACAATATCCACCTGCATTGGTATGGAGTATGTGTGGACATGTATCCAACCCAGAAGCGCAGAGACCCTCACCTATTCAGGGAGCAGCTCCCAGCAGAGTGGTTACAAGGTGATAAACTTCCTAGCTAACAGACACGCATCAATAAACCCTTCAGCAACCAACGTAATTTCAGAGATCAGTTCAATGTCAGGGACAGCCATGCCACAGGTTCTAGGAAAGAAAACAAACCCCATAATCCAAATACACAGATTAGTATTTAAACATAGTGAGAATAAGTAATTTAAATCAAATGTCTGATGTGTGCAAACATTTTTAAAAGCAGAGCTCAAAAGAGCCACAATTAAGAGTGTCAGTCAAAGCTAACAAGAACCTCACTTCAAAGCAAGAGAAGATAATTAGGCATTGTTGATTGTTAATATCCAATAACATTGCTGCACACAAAGGAGGCAGTTGAGAAACACAGAGACAGGTACTGCTGAAACTTAGAGCAGTCACAGTCTGCAGTGGTGTCATTTGCCACCGACAACTGGAGGTCACAGCCAACAGCTGTAGAGGGTCTGGAAGTGCAACACCCTACCATTACTAAAAATGCCATAACTTTTTAAAGCACTTTGATTTTTTTGGAGGGCTTTAATGACTTTATGTGACGTCTCAGTTGCTTTTAGAGGTTTCACTGGGTTTTTTTTAAATATAACCGCCAGTTCAAACTTTTAGAACAAAATCACAGACATATTAGTGATACAAATGAGAAAAATCTCATTAAATCTCATTTTAAAAGTATCACAAAGTAATATTGCTATTGCTAAACAATATCCTCATTTTAAAAATCACTACTTAGATTATATAATAGCAAAGAAGAAATCTTGAATTTTTTGTTCAGGTCAGCTACAAACCAGCAACTTTTTCCCTCAGAGTACTTCCTCACTCCTGCAAAACAAATATTTTTTTGTTCCCTATTCATATTTGAATATGACGAAATTAAGACCAGTAATTTAAGTCAGCAGTATATTTCTGATAGAAATCAATAACATAGTCTAGAAAAAGAGTAAGAACCTCTCTGCTAAACAACTTTTAAGCAAACTATGCTCTAAGAGGCATTTCTTCATAAGCCCAAACAAGGGCTGCTATATGCATTGCAGTCAATTATAAAAAATTACTTGCTCTTCTACCTACCATAATTATTACACTTTTTGCAAATAGAGTAACTGCTTATGCAAGAAATATCAGGCTAGTAGAATTCATTATGTCTTCTCTCTCTTGTGGGATTTTATTAAGTGGCAAATATGTGGAGCTAATGCTTTAGCAGTTACCTCCCGTCTCTCCCATGCACTGCACAATAGATAGAAGCTGTTACAGACATCAGCTACAGGGCTGGATTCCCGAGTCTCAAATGCTCCAGTTCATATTATAATTCCAAAGACTTTTTATTTGGTTTATTTTTTTTGTGAAAACCAAGTAAATGTAAGACTTCTGCTTTATGCAGAAGTAGATTTTGAAAATTAAAAAAAAAAAGAAAAAAAAAAGACAAAAAACCCCCCAAATCCAAAACCCCAACCAAAGCCAAAGAAAACCATAGTAGAAAGCAATGATTTATCTTTCAGTGGAGATCTTGTTAATTAATATTATTGCATGTCCCTTATCCTTTTCTTCCCAAACAAAAAAAAAAAAGAAACAACAAAAATAATAGACAACAAAAACAAATCACATGCATTTTCCATTCTCTGGTAGAGATGAAACACCTGGTAGTGACAGGGAATGAACCCTCCTGCTTTCTTGTCAATACCACACTCAGCTGAATGTGGAAGATGTGGCCACCAAGAGAGCTGACTCTGAATGTAGGAGGGGTGGAAGCCACATGGCACAGACACAGGGGTCCCTGTCCCCTTGTACCCTTTTGTGCAATGGTCTGAATTGAGGAGCTGTCTATTATTGTTCTCTTGGTGCAAATTAATTCTGCTTGGCCTTGAGGGTTCCTAGATGGCAATTAATGAGAAGGCTTGGTAATGCTACAGTCAAGTTGTGAAACATTAACACCCCTTCTCCCCCCATTTATAAGGAAGCACGATGTATCTCTCAGGGTCTCCCTCCAACCTTTGCTAAGACTCAACTATAGCATCTTACTTAGACACATTCTTTGCAGAATTCAAATCCTAAACTCCCCCTTGTAAGCAGATATTACTTACTGCTTGTTACAAATGAGTGTAATTTGGGCTTAAGGAACATGAAAACTAATTGCTGCTGCTGCTCCCCAGTCCTGCCATCTGAAGCAGGATGTTTGGCTGGCAAGAGGATGAGATGTGCCTGAGCAAACACCTTTCTAAGTTTAGCAGACTTTGTGTCTTTCTGCATTGAAAGCATGTAGGTCTATGGTATCAGGAATTCCATGGTTAAAGCAGAAAAAACAAAACACACCAAGATCTGGACGTACTTTTAATACAGAAGAAAATACTACCTGTATTTGAACTTGCTTACAAAAGCAACAGTGATGCCTGGTTCTAACCTATCTTTCACAAATCCAAGACCTTTACTGTGCAGATAGCATGTGCATACTTGTGCCTCCCCAGACAGTCTGACAATGCCTCGCAGCTTGCCTCACCAAAGTTCAATATGTTAAGAAATGAAATCACAGAACAATTTCTTTCTCAAGTCTTGATAAAATCAGTGAAAGTGTCAATGCAAGAGTCAGGTGACAACTTTTGCACAAGCACGTGAGGGATGACTCCTTTTTAAGCAAATCCTGCACCATGTAGTTCAAAGGACAGCTCGAAAAGTTTGTTGAAAGAAATTGGCAATTTTACTGCCCATCAGGCTGGAGCAATTGTTTGTGGAATTAATTCATTCTCAGAAACATCATTTGGATATAAACTCACTGAGCAGAGCACGCAAAATATATTCAGATCTTTTAAATTCAAAACTTTCTTCCTCAAAATATTAGTGGTAAGATACAAAGCATAAATACAGACTTTAAGAAAAAGATAATGGGCTGTCCCACAGTGCCTAAAAGCATATGACTGTTTTTGATGTGCACTGCACTTTTCACAGCTTCTCAACAATCACACACTCAATATCTTCCTAGGTGAGGGTATGAAGCTTTATTTTCAGCTGGTAGTTTCGAAACATCTATGAATACTTTCATGCCTACACCCAACCAAGAATGTGATAGTTAGACAGTTTTCAAATGGTGATTTTACTAGGTTAACTGAGCTGTGAGGATTCCTATTTACCACAAAACAGTGAATATTCTTGCATATGTTTAGGTACCTCCTATGTGTGCACAGGTACCTTTAAAATTTGATATAGATTTAAAAAAAACAAAAACCAACAAAACAAAACAGCAAGGTAGACATTTAATTTCCCTTGTCGTTATGGTGTGGAGGCAGGCACAACATGAACACTGATCTTTTTTTAACAGCAATTCTGTAGCAAAAAGAAGTTGCACTTCATTGCAAACCAGGGCTAGGAACACTAGGTGGGATACGTACTCTAAATGTGGACTTGAGATATTAGTATACCATAAAATCACACAATAGCACTACCTGCCTCCACAGAGCTAGGAGGTTTTCAGGTAGTTCTGTCTGACCTGCACATCCGGGGATCATGGTAATAATATTCCAACTGTGGACTTCAATGTAATATTTTCACCAAGAAATACAAATCTGTTAAACGAAAGGCAACACCAAAAAAGTGTTAAAAGAAAGATAATACTTATAGAAAGGGACAGTTTACTAGAGCTTATCAAACAGAGGTATTTCCCTGGTAGCCAACAGATTTTAGTAATCTGTGGCTCCTCTGGTCAGCACTGAATATGGAAGGAAAAGACCAGACTGCTAGAGTCACAAGGAGTGCATATTGCTGAAGCATGCCTATAGGAAGAATCATCTTTTGAAACACGCAGAATAAATAAGACCACTAGGGATGCAGTGGGTTTGAAAAGGTCAGGAGACAGCATTGAGTAAAGAAAGCAGAAGAAGAAGAACATGGGACAGTGGAAACTCAAGGCATGTCTCAAAAGTGTTGGAAAACCCTGGAAGCACTGAGATTTCTTGCCAAGTTAAATCCTGTCAAACTTCTCACCCATATGATGCCATGATTTCACATGGTGGGACTTGAACAGGGCCAGAATTTCAATAGCAAAGCTTCAATTGGAATCCTGCAGGACCAGGATTTCACTGACATTTGTTGCTACATTTTGAAGATAAATTGATTTTAAGGTAGTATATCACACAGGTTATTTACTGTTTCCATCTACTTCCTCATTTACAAAGGGTTTCAGAGGAACTTTGGAAAAAGATATTACAGGTTCAGCATTCATAGCCTGCAAAGGACAATAAAGATGCACTGCTGAAATACTCCTTTTACTTGTTACTAATTGTATCATGGATAGTCTTTAATTGTACTACCACCACTGACTGAACTACCAAGGCGCCACTGAAGTCATCGAAGCACCCCCAAGCTCCTGTCTGGACCAAATCTTAACAGATATTCTCTATAGAATAAAATCAGAAGTGAAGGTTTAACATCTTTTTCTTAAAAGCAACAGTTTCCAGCGTAATTCACATGAAAAAAATGCTAAACACCATCTCCATACTGCTTAGCAGAACATCTCACCTTGTCGTCCATGTGTTCTGAACAGCTGAAGATGTACACCATCATACCAAGGGCACAGCCTAAATCTTCAGTGGTCTCTGTCTTACCTATGCCAGCTGGTTCTTCAGGAGAACCACTCGCTTTCAGGTCGAGAGCTTGAGTTAGAGTAATGTAACACCTTAACATAAGAAAAGTGATTGTTTGCATTGCAATGAACTTCTGCAGTATCAGGAGGGTTTGTTTTTTTTTCAAACCTTATGTTTCGTGGGTGATTTATTCCAAGACTTTCTCATTAAAATTTAATGTCCTAAGCCACAAATGTACCTCTTCCATGTTCACATAAAATCACAGTGTGATACTGCTTGGAAAATGCTTATTTTAGAAAACTAAACACATCAGCATTTTTTAGCAAGAAGGAGCATCCTATCAGTGGTCACATAGGACAGGAAACAGGAGACTGTAGTTGCTGCTTTGCCTATTTCAAAGACTTAAGCCCCAGAATTGGCCCCCCCAACTGCAGGTTGTAAGCACTAAGCCAGTCAGGGTGTCTGGGTGCATCTTTTTGGACCATTTATTTTAACAAGAAATTCTATACTGGAGTAGAAACATTTCCAGAAAAAAAAATAAATTCATTGTGTGTGGTGTGAAAAAAACTAACAAAGTGGTTTGGACTTTAATACACAAACAAAAAAAAATTGCTGAAAAGTCCTGATTAACCTTGGTAAAGATCCACTCATATTCCCCTTCAGACTAGACACTGAATACATACATATGCAAAGAATATTTCAATAATTTTAAATGTAACGGCCATTAAAATCATACCATTACATAAGTATGCATACCTACGTGCACACACATGCTCAAAGATATTGTGTCTTAATAACCATATACATATGAGTTAGGAAAGAACACTGAACTTCTAAGAAACATTTAACTTCTAATTCACAGAAACAAGTAAGGCAGACTGTTGTAAGTAGCAGTCATTACCTGTCAGTCAAAGGTGTAATGACTAGCCAAGGGGTATTTCCCAAGTACTTAAAAATGTACTGAAACTCAGCATCGCTAATGTTGGCGAAACAGTGTTTCTGGACATCATCCCATCTATGGCGTAGCTATGACAACCAAGCAAAAGCTCTGAAACCGGTGACCTAAAAAGCCATTGTAGAGTCATGATGCCAGGTAGGAGCTATTCAGATGGAAGAAATGCCACGAATCAGAATGCTGTCACACATTCCTAGCCACTTAGGACCAATAACTACTACAACCAACCATAAAGGATTAGATGCACCCTGAGGCATTTGTGCTTTTATATAGATGCAAGTGTAATAAGAGATCATTTTAATAGAGCTATTACAGCAGTACACATTGTCACTTACTAAGTCAAGATCTCTCCCTACAAAAAATGCAGTCTTTGCCTGGTAGCAGACATTACTTTGACCAGAATGAGTGTCATTTTACTCCTCAAGCCTTGTTTCTTCTTATCTTAATGCTGTCTTAGAAAACCATTTTATTTCTGAAGTTCAGGAGGTTAGAAGGAAAATGAGAATTCTTTCCTATTTCAATTCCCATCCAGTGAAACGTTTTGTTCATTCAAACCAACAGCATATGCCAGCCACCTTAAGTTTACCTGAACAAAGTTACACATAGAGTGAGCACTTTGGTTTACATAAACATTGAAAGTTTCAACTGTATGCACTTATAAAGAGTCACCATAGGAGAGGAGTGACTTGCTCTAGAGATGCATGTGTGCCTCTAAAAGGAGAGCAAAACACACTGTGAATTACCGAAGGCAGAATAAACTGTGCATGGAAAATATAGATGATTCAAATACACACCTTCTGAGCTCAAAGGCTTGCTAATACATTTCTGGCATGAATGTCTACAGTGCAAACGGCCATGATTTTTTGATGATCATCCAAGGAAAGTTCTCAAAGCAGCATGGTAATAAGAGCATTTCTCCAAGTGACCTGAAAGATTTAGATAACCATCTAAAACCTCAGATGAACCTCAGCAACATCTACCATTATTGCTGCTAGAAATTAGTTCTGCCTACATCATGAACTAGATCACCACAAAAACTGGCTTGTATGTACAAATTTGCTGGTATTAAACCTGAGATGCCAGAAGAAATCCTGGTTAAAACAGACATTTGAACCACCCCTAAAACAATGACAATCCAGGTGAGCAAAATTACTGCAAATGGTCAGCTAGGCAGGGTAGGAGGAATGGACGGATAAGACGATGTGCATGAAGCTGAATTGTAAATTCTATGGTTATAATCTTCATAGAGATATGCACCAGACTCTGCAAAAATTGTATTAATTGCATGAGAATATTTATTGGCAAACTAAAAATAGCTTTTAGGAAAGATCAGTGACTTACATTTTAAAAATAGGCAATGCAATAAGGGGATGATCACAAAATATGACATAAATTACTATACAAGATTACATAGCGGGAAGTGACTATGGAATTATTCAGGTTTCATATTAATAAGAGAAAAAAAATCCATACACAGTTACTGCATGTAATTCTAAGGAGGAAAATATAACTAACTTTAATAGAAAGATATAGTATCTTTGCTATTACAGAGAAATTTTAGACAACTCTGTCAGATATCCATCACCCTTTTAAAGTCTCTTTCTTATTTTGCATTTCCCTTCAGCAGATATTCTACGTTGAAAAGCAAAACCAGAACTACTGAAAGTTTTCGCAAAGAGAAAGCGTACTCACAGCAGGACAGAAACATCCAGGAGAAGCTGGAGTTAAACAAGAGCAAAGCAAAAATCAAATGGCAGAAGGTACCCTTCTGAAATGGGACTAAAACTAATCTTAGAAGTAAAGTGGTTGGTTTGACAAAAATAAACCCAACAACTTTGGCTTCTTTACACGAATATATGGGCTTAGTATTTGTATGCATACTGGCTGCATACTCTGTTCTTAGTACAGTATAATGGTTGATGTTGGGCAGTATCTTTGCTTACCTTTCATCTCATTTTGGAATAATACTGCAAAAGATGTGGGATAATTAATTAAAACGTGATAAAAATAACTGCGAGGTAGCAAAAATGGAAGCAAAAGCTATGTTTCTTTTTCCAGTAGGTGCTAATAGCAGTTTATTTACTATGGTATTAAAATTATCCAATATGCCACTCATATCTTTTTACGGGACCATTTTCACACTGTACTTATTTTCTCTGAATTAAACAAAAAGAAGATATCCATTCCTGCTTCTTGTGGCAATCCTTGGGGGCTGATGCTAAGCCCTTGTCCACCCTACCAAATGCCACTTCTACATCTGAAACCTAACAGATTTATGAAGCAGTGAGTTCAGTCTGGGCTGGGTAAAAAAAACAGTAAAAAACTTACTGGGCTGGGTAAAAAAACAGTAAAAAACTTATTGTTCTCTCTGCTTCTCTTCATAGGCCAGTATTGCCTCCATGATGCAGAGACGTACCGGTTTGTGTGCAGTTTCCTCAAGGTGTTGCAACCAAGGCTCTACCTTTGAAGCAAAAAACCCAAGCATGCATAAATGGTACATTTGATACTAAAAATAAAGGAAGCTAATCTCATTAATCTTTACAAAGGATTTTCTTTACATTAAAGTTTTTACTAACTTGAAACAAAAGCAGACTTTTTCCCTCCATTTTCTCCGTTATTGCCTCTGCATTAGGATTTAGATGAGATGATAGACATTGCTTTGTTTTACATATCCACTTGACTGGAACACCCAGACATAATGTCTTAGAGCTCCAAATATGAAAGTCTGAAGTTTTTGTGTTCACAGACACAGAGTAAGCCCAGACAATACAGTCTTTCCTATGTCTCTATGTACTCAAATGTAGCTGTATCTTGGAGAAACTATCTCTAAGAGGCAAGCTGCATATATTTGTCCATTCAGTCTGAGGCCTCCCTGCTGAGACAATCAATCATTAGAACCACAAGCAACATTGATTTTATGCAATGTGAATGCTTATGCATTCAGTACTGTTCTGAGAACAATAAGTTATTGTCTGAGAACTTGCTGATCTGTTCTCTCTGACCTACCACTACACAGTTAGCACAAATACTGGCTGGCCAATCAGCAAATATAAGGTTCAAAACCAGCTGAAACCCTGTTCAGATGATAGGGGATGTGTGAGAGCACTGGAGGTCTGGAGAGGTGTGTGCTAAAGGATAAGACAGGAGGGGATGTGAAACTATATAAAAAAAGATGAAATAAAAAGGGCAGAAGACAGGAAGTATGAGAAATGCAACATTTAACCATAATCTTGATCAGTTCTGTGACTTTTAGTACCTTTTTTTCTTTTTCATTGCATCAAAACAGTAAGCTCTCTACACTTCTTTTAAAAAACACCTTATGTACAAGAGGTAGATAGACAATGTATTAAATTTTTAGTAAATCACACAGCTTTGGGTAACAAAATGTTCTGGTTTTATTATTATTTGTTTATTTATCATTATTTTTTCAAAATTTACATTTTTAAAAGTAGCACCCCAAAGAGGGCAAAATCCATGAAGGAGGTTTCACATAACTCAACATACCTGACTACTGGCTCCACATTTGTCATGAAACAGAATATACTCCTTTTCTGTGCCCAAGGGCAGCATTTATAGATTCCTCTGTATTCTCTTGAAATTTATGATCAGCAACTCTGCCAAAAAGTATGGTAAGATGATGGGCTACCCACACCCAAAAATAGCAGATGTATAAGGAAGCCATTTACCTTAGGTTTGTGTCAATGACACTAATGCATACTTCTGTTAAACTGGATGACTATCTGAGTGTTGTATGATTACTACACAAAAGGTTTTTATGGGAAAAGCTGGAGCAAAATGGTCACAGATAAATCAGCTAATGGAGTTAATCACACTACTCTTCTGACTTTCAGTTGTCAGAACAGTCTGAAGGACAAAGATATCTCAATATAAAACCGAGAAGTCTTGAAATTGTTATTAATTATGGCTAGTGCTTATATCACAAATTACCTATTGAGGTCGAAATGACTTGTGTAACTAGATATCTCCCCAAAGACCGTGGACTTTGAAGATCACTGTCTGTACACCAGCACACTCTATTCCTGACAACTAGAACAGAAGGTTTGTTTGGTTGCTCTTATATGCGGGAGAAAAAAATCCCTGAGATTTAGTTACATGAAGAATCTGTGAGAGTCTACCATCACAAGTCCTTCATCCTCTTGGAAAGTATCAGCTCTTCTGTTGTATGTCACAGCCCTTCAAAAAAAGGCTTAGCCTGAGGCACACTAAAAACTGTAGCATTGAGAATTGATGGCTGTGGCTGGATAGTAACTGAGGCCAGGAGTATCACCTGGCATGTAGATAACATAGTATGAAGCTCCTGAAATACATCAAAGTGCCTGTGCTTTTATATAAATTGTTCTCAAAGCGTCACAAAACCCAGCAGATTATTGTTCACAGGAGGAACACAGAAGGACAGTTACAAAAACATTCCTCGTACAATAGTCAACAGCCTAACAGATACCATAGATCTTTCAGTCTTACTTATCATCACTACACATAGTATGCCTGAAATTTGATCAATCTGTGCTAGAAGGAAAATAGATTTGATGATCTCACTGACCTTTTCCATTTCTAATTCCTGCAAACCTACAATCGAAAAATCCAAATAAATGCAACTTTCACTGGTTAAATTTCCAGCAAAGACAGCCCAGGACCTGTAACACGTCTCTCATTTCTCTTTGCTGAATACCTTCTACTTTTCCTAGCTGGGAGAAAAAATGTTTACTACCTTCCTTAGGCAAAGTGTTCCTGTTTGCAAAGTAAATGAATGCTCAGTAACAAAGGCGCAGTTCTATGATACTGTCACCTCATGCAGTTAGCTGGACAACTTGTCTTTCTGTAGACAAAATGAAGTACATTCATACACAAAGAGGCTCACCTGTTTTGGCTGTGTTCCTTTTGAAAGGATGTCTATCAAGTCTGCTGAAAAAACAAAATAGAAGCAAGGAAAAGACGTGCTTGGTTTCTTCATATGCAGACAAAGCTTTTTCACAAAGAGAAAGTCTGAAAATATGACAGAGATTTTAACCATACATGCCTTTTATCATCCTACAAAAATAAGCCAAAAACTCCCTCCCAGTTAAGGTAAAAATCAGACCAAACAGTATAACAGAACAACACAATCCACTTTTAATTTAAAGTTATAACAATGAACACAGCTGTAAGGAACAGAGAAGGTGGCAAACCTTATATGTTTCCTTTCCAGAAAATGAAAGGGAACATCATCTTGTAATAATTAAGACCAAGGAACTCAAGAGAAGGGAATTTTGCCAGAAAAGTTCCTAAAAAGGTAAGTCTGGCTAGGGGCAAAATCCTCTTTGACCTTCCAAAGAGTCCAGCCTCAGCAAGTAAGGGACAAGAAAAAAAGTTCCTACTCAACAGGGCAGTTAGGTGCAGATAAATGAAAAAAAAAACCCAAACCCAACAAAACAAAACAACAAAGAAAGCAGCAGAAAAGAACCAGTTGAATGTGAGTGCAAAGTAGCCACTTTTTTCAAGATGCATATTTTATCTTTGATGTATGAATACATGTTTGTATTGACACAAGAAGTAAATAAATATACTTTTACAGTAAGACATGCTGCTGTCCACATTTTTAAACTGCAGATTTAAGCCACTAGAAATATATTTAAAATTTCAAACATAGAGTTTCCCTATAGAACATTATAATATATTAGCTTTTCAGAATTGCCCATGATGAGAACTTTCCCTGGCATACGTGGATTGAATTACAGGTATATTGACAATGCAAAATCTTTACTATTGAAGGGTTCGGTGACTTTTTTTGGTCAGAATGAACACTTAAGGCACAATGTTTTGTGTCAAGTTCAAATGTTAAGGTTGATTCCTGTACTTAACTTTGCCAACATTAAATAACAGACCATAAACTTGTATTTTAATCATCACTGTCCTAAATGACATGGAGTTCAGCAGAAGAGATTTCTGCAGCTCAGAAGTATTATATCTCTATGTGATTCCAAGAGGTTAAAAAACTAACAACTAAATAAAAGAAGATATTAAAGATATGTGAAGGAATGACCTCCAGAACTTTGTCTCAAATCATGTCATCAGCAACTGCCAGTCCATGCAAAAGGAAAATAAGGCAAATAATTACTTTGATTTTAATAATAAAAATGCAAAATCCACTTCTGATATTCTCCCAAGTAAGCCTGAGACTCTCATAATAATGTTAATTCAGTGGGTTAGAAACAAGTCTATGAAAGAAATACTCAAATTAACAGTCAATATGGTATTATTTAGGAAATATTCAAATGCAAGATATAAATTAATAGAAACTAATAACTCTACTAACTTTGAAGTCTCTGTTGATCTCTTCAAATTTGTTTGCATCTTCAAGGCAGCTAGCTTCCGATGTTTTCAGAGCCAGTGAAAATACTTTCTAGAAAAGACCATGTGCGTTGAACTACCATCCAAATGAAAATGACAGAATCTGCCATGTTTATTTTGCCAACCTTTCACTTGTTCAGTAAAATATACCACATATTTACTTTTCAGAATTATTTGCAGCTGAAACTAGAAAAATAAAAAAAAAACCAGAAAAAACTGTACTAATCAAAACAATTTATCGAACAGAGGAACTAGAGCTAGCAAGAGCTTAACAAATTCTCCGGTAACTGTTATTGTATATCACAACATAAGATATCTTTAAACAATGAAAATGCACAGCATATTATTAAAGGATTAAAAAAAAAATAGAAGAAAATACAAGCTTAGAAAGCTGTGATTTTGTTTAACTCCTACATGGAAACAGCAATTTTTTTTTAACACATGCAGTTACATAGCATACATGTAAATTCTCCCTACTAACACCTGAAGAAAATATAACTCTCTGCAATAATGATTCAGGAAAAAAGTTTTAAATAAAAGTATAAAGAAGGGAGTGAGTAATATTGATACACTAATGGTATTGCTATTAATTAAATCCTTACTTGATTGTTATCTAAAGTTTCAAGCAGCT